TTGCCTTGGTTCTCTTCTGTGAGGCTCTCCATGTGGCCAGTATGTGCTTCTTAACAGCATGGTAATCTCATGCCAGCACTTTCTTAAAGGATGGGCCTGGAACTGGAACAGTGACACTCCTGCCACATTTTATTGGTCAAAAAAATCAAGTCCAGCCCAGATTCAGGAGGACAGGAAATCGCCTCCATCTCTTGATGGAAGGAACAGCATGTGCATACAGGAATGGGAGGAATTGTTGGCAGCCACCTTTGGAGGCAAGCCACCCTTAGCTGAAGGCTGGGAATGGGGAAAAGTGGGTTCTGGCTTCATCTGCTCAGCATGGACAACAAAGAATGTGATACAAGCTTCTCTCTTCAGCCTCAAGAGGTGGGATTTTAGGTGATAATTTAGAAAACTCTTTTGTTTCTTAAAGTTTCAAGTTTCCTTACACCTCTTCTCATGAATTTCAGGATTCCGCAGAGAGACCACAGAGAGACTATGCTGAGAGCTACCTGGATTCCTTCCCCAGTAAGCAGAGTAAGTTACTAGGGTGGAGGAACCTTAGGAAGTGACTGAGGACTGGGAGGGCTGAACCTGTGTTGGTTGACCAGGATGGTCCCCCTCCCTGGATGACACAGTCCTCATCCCTTAGAAGGGTCCTAAAGACAGCCCAGCCCTTCCTGTTCTGTCCTCTTTTGTCACAGCTAGCTGGGAGAAGGCTAAAGGTACAATTAATGGCTGGGTCTTCTTTTAGCTCCTAAGTTATCCAAGAGAGAAAGAACCCACTAACGAGGACATCAGTACTCAGATGGAGGTTGTGCGGGAAGCCCAAGAGAGGACCCCAGAGGACACCTTTCAGCCAGTACATCTAGAACACATTGGAACCCTGAGCTCAAACTGCTGAAGATTCTCCAGGCCACTGATTATGAGGATGAGCATAACAAACCCTGTGGGATGCAGAGTAAAGTCTCTGGAGGCATAGGCAGAAGACATCACTGGGGCAGCCTTGTTCTACAGCAGGATGCTTAGAATCCTGAGGACAGCAACTTTGGACATGAGGGCTGGAAGGAGAGGGGACTTCTGCTCCCTGGAGCCTTCACCAGGACCCAGCAAGGGGTTTGTTTCCTTCACTCACCTCTACGTGCCTCTAATATGAGGGAGAAAAAGTCCTACCCCTTTTAAACTTAGATTTTTTCCCCCTCTTTCATTAGGGCCAGAATACTTTTGGTGATTAAACACAGCTGTTGCTTAATCAAAAGACTCATTTCCTGTTTCTGGAAGGAGGGAAGAAATATTTCTTGGCATCTGTTTTCTGGGTCACTTTCATCTCTTCTCTGAAGCTCTGCAAGGTTTCCAGTTGTAGAAAGATGAATTTGACCTGTAGGAACCTCTTCTGTGTTTCTAGCTTTTCCTCTAATTCTCTGGAACTGGTTTCTTTTGAGGCTGGCATCCACATCATTATCCAATAATATTGTGTTTCGTGTGTATGTNTCTGTATAGGTGGCATCTGTGCCTAGACCGGGAATTAGAGCAGTTTAGTGAAGAGGGGGTTGCAGGTGGGAGATAGACAGGAAGAGAATTCTAGACTACAGAAATAGCACATGCAAGATCCAGGAGGCAAAAGGAAATTCTTTAGGTATCAAAAACATAGTTCAGTGTGTTTGGAACATGGACCAGGGGTTGGAGAGTGGTCAGAGATGAGGCTGGGAGCTGGAGTAAAAAGCAGGGGCCTAAATCACATAGGACTTTATAAATCAGGCTAAGGAGTTGGGTCTTTATCTTACACTTCTTTGCAATAATCATTCATTTATACATTTAACATGTTTTTTTTAAAAATAAATAAAATAGCAAGTAATATAAAAATATAAAGGGACAATATTTTTTTATTGTAAATATACATAACATAAAATTTACAGTGTTAACCATTTGTAAGTGTACACTTTAGTGACATTAAGTACCTTCACAACGTTGTGCAACCATCACCATTATCCATTTCTAGAACTTTTTATCATCTCAAACAGACTCTCTACCCATTAAACAATAACTCCTCATTCCCTCTTCTCTCCAGCTCCTGATAATCTCTGTTATGTTTTCTGTCTATGAATTTGCCTACTCTAGGTTCTCAATATTTGTCCTTTGTGTCTGGTTAGTTCACCTAGCATAATGTCTTCAAGGTTCATCTATGTTGTAGCATGTGTCAGAATTTCACTACTTTTTTAAGGCTGGAAAATATTCCTTTGTATATACCACATTTTGTTTTTTTAACATGTTTTTGAACATCTACATCAAAGGTACTTAGACTTTTACTGATGGTGATGTAATTGTAGCTGGAGAGAGAGCGAGGCATAGGCATGAATTCAGTTTGATGCAACAAATAGTTGTAAAGTGTTGGCAATATACAATGTCTATTTGGGAACTGTTCTAGAAAAAATAAACAAAACTTAAGGAGATGGCGAGACCCTACATTCATTTGATAAGTATTAAGCCCAAGGTTTTCTGTAGATAAGTAGAAGGCTTTCCCTAACTTTATCATTTCAAGAAGTCTTTTGTGTCTCTGTTACATGTTTGGAAACTCATTTTTTAGACCTTGGATGGATTTACCTGACAAAGATTTGATCAACCATACTAATAGACCTCCCAACGTAAGTCACAGATTGAAAAAGGTACTTCCAGCATTTTCTCTTTACCAGCGGGAATAAAATATTTGCCTTTATTTAGCGTTCTTCCTTGGAATGAGTGCAATCTGAATATTGATGATGATCATAATGATGATGATACCTATCTAGCATTGGACCCTTATTATATGCTAGGCTCTGTGCTAATGACTTTACATGCTATACTGTTTCCGGAAATCCCAGACACAAGTGGGTTTGATTTGTGGCAGTTTGGCATAGGTGAGAATTTTCTGTCTCTATCCTGCATTGAACGTGTTCAGTTACTAAGTACATAC